TGTTGATGTTAATTCTTTTTCAATTTTTGGTAGGTTTCACTGGTGAAGTCATATATGGTCCTGGAGCTTTCATGTTGGAAGGTTTTATGTTATGCTGGGAGGTTTATAAGGAGACTCAATCTCCTTATTTTGTATAGGTTTATTCAGGTTTTCTGTTTCTTCTTGAGTCAGATTTGGTAGTTTGTATGTTTCTTGTAATTTGTCCATTTCATCTATGTTATCAAATTTTGGGGCCTTCAATTGACCATAATAGTACTGCGTCTGTAAAGTTGTAGTAATGTCTGTAACTTTTTTAAAAAAAATTACAGAACAATGTCTATAATTGTCCCCTCCTGCATCAGTAAAACCACACAGGAGTGCAGGTTGCCATCCACAAAGCAGTAGCTCAGCTAGGAAATGGGGAGTGGTAGGTTGGTAAGCAAAAACACCACAATCTTCTCTTACTGTATTTCAGCACTCTTTCTTCATTAAGCAGTCCTCTGCTTGCTCTAATTATTTTTTATTAGTTTGTAGAGTTCTGAAAGTGTTGATTCTGACAGTTTTTTTCCAGCTTAATGTTTGCTTCAGCGGATGATGAATCCTTGGAACTCTTCTTCCTTCATTCTCAGTGATGTCACCTGCCCCCAGCATTTCATTTTGACTAGGGAAATTTTAAATCCTGCAGCAAGAATGAAAGAATAGTGCAGTGAGGACCCACCACGTAAGTTCTACCATTAACATGCGATTATACTTGTTCTTAATCATATAGCCATTTATCTATCAATCCATTAACTAATCTTATGCTTTGATGCAATTCAAAGTGAATTGCAGACTTCCATATACACGCTGACACTTCCGTTTGTATATCATGAATAGAATTCAATATTCCTTTATAAAATTTAAACTTTGATTTAAGTATATAGTATGCATAGTGAAATTCACAATTATTAAGTATATATTCACTGAGCTTTGACATGTATAACTCCATGTTCTTTTTTTTATAAGCATAAAAACCTCTCCCAATATTTTAATATACCCTTGAAGGACAACATAAATATGTGTGTGGTGGGGGCAGGATTAGAGGAATTCTCCAAATACTCTAAGGAGGTTCATAAGATCTTGAGCTAAATAGAAGATTGTTACAGGGCATGTAGCCCAACATTACTATTTGATGATAATCTCCATAGCATCCCCACAAAATCCACCACTGGCTTGCATACATTTAGGCATTGGCCTCTCACCAGTGCAGAGGGTAGGCTGCTAAAACTTTGGATAGCTTAGAATATTCAGAAACCCTTATTTATATAGAGATACACACAACCAGGGTAATCATCTCTTTCTGCATTGCAGACTGGCCTTAAGTTTGTAAATAGCCCTTCCTCAAGTATTTTTTTTCCATATCTTTGTTCCTTTAACTGCATTTTACTGATAATGATCCCTATTAGCCTGCTAATGTGATTTTGAATGCTTTATCAAAGCCCTCTTTAAATGGCACTATGTCAAAACCAAAGACAAACTTCCACTGAGGGGGAGGGGGGTTGTTCAAATTAGAGGAAGTTGAGTACTTTTTGTTCTTTATTTCTTCTGGTGCTTGAATTTGTGTTAAGACCTTGGATTCTTCCCCACAGGCTGGCTAGTTTCTTTAATAATTTCATGCTGCCATCTGGTGACTAAATCAGGTAATTCTTACCATTTGTTTCGAACTCCAGCAGAAAGGAAACAGAGGTTAACAAAGTGACAAACTGGAAGTAAAATAACTGGAATCTTTTCAAAAGAGGACTTGATTTTTTTCCTCCCACATAATTTCTGCTGTATGCCACACATTTTGGTTAAGTAAAGCCTGAAGGCAATAAAGGGCAGGAGAGAGCAGGGCTGTTCCAAGATATGATACAGAATCCTGAGGAAATATTTTTGGGGGAATCCCTTTCTTTGTAAGTAACCTGATTAAAATACAGTCATGCCTTGATAATCGTCGGCTTCAGAACTCATCAAATCCTGTACCTGTCACATTTTGATGAGAAAAAAATGTTTTAGCACTCGACGCTTTGCTTGGGTCACACGATAAAACTTGAAAGAGTCACCATGCCACCCTGCAAGAGAAAATGCTTCGTCCTTTGGTACTCATGGGTTTTGGCACTCATTGCAAGTTCTGGAACGAATTAACAAGGAGTATGAGGTACCACTATATATTATGAAGTTTATGGGCCCATGTGAGGTAAGGTAAGTTAACAATGAACATTTAGAATAATGGACTAAGAAGAGATACTTATATATTTCTTTATTAAACAGTTCATGTGAAAATTACTTTATTTTGTTTTACAAAAGCACCTGTGATCATTTAATGAGCTTTCCTCCATATGGCTTTCCAAGCTACCAAGACACAGGCCCTATGAACACCCTTCATCTTCTCCTCAGCTCTTCTATGAAGAACTTGGCCTTCGTGATAATAGGCTGCTTTGGGAACTTACCCTTCCCCAGAACTTTGTAGTAGCTCGATTGCACCACATCAATGATGGGAGCAGCTCCAGTCTTGTTTTTGGCAGCATTTACCTGTGTGTCTGCTCACTGACCGAGGTCCACAATTTATCAAGACTGACAGGCAGAAGATCTGGTTCCTCTATAAGTGGTAATGCTTCATACCTACTTTCCCGAAGTAACCTGGATGATACTGTCAAAGTTGATTCGGAGACGAAGTGTGCCACCAGTGCTACCTTGACCTCCCGGATGCTTTCTGTGCTTGTCAATGCGGCTGTGACTGTTGCCCATGTGGCCCCGATGTTTCCGGGCCTTCCTCAGTCTGGATGACTTGTTGGTGACAGAGATTCAAGAGCTGTAAATTCCTCATAATGTCCATATGCCATCTCTTCCTCTGCAGTTCCTTTAGACTAGGTTATCGGCAGTAGACCGTGGTAACCTAGAGCCCGAAAACGTGGTATGTTCCGAAGTGAGAGTCACCCAAAATCATCGTGTTATCATTTCGGCAGCTAATCTTACTCAATCTCATGAAAGATATTACTATGATAATCAATGGAAATGATTTGCTACCCTGGCTGTTGAACCCTGGGACAATCTGTTCATAGCTCTCGTTTTTTTTTTTACCTTTTATGATGCTTTTGACAATGTTTTAAATTCATAAAATAAAAAAATTTTGGTAGTTGATTCTCTTTGAGTGTTGATATTTTCCATAACTTACTGTCTAAAAAGTATAGAATAATTCCACAGTTGTAGAAAATTCTATTCGACAGAGCTGTGTTTGGCAGAACTAGTTAACCTTAACAAATGGTAGCCTGTGTTAAAGACACAATAAGCTGAAATAGGTTAAATTCTATAGTGGAATCAGATTCCTAGTGATACTATTATTTCATAGCCTATAGAGGAGGAGTTTAAAACTGGTGTGGTGGCCTGATAGTATCGCTGTTTGTGGTAGTCAGTGCTTTTTAGGTCCCCCTGGTTAGTCCAGGCTGAGATCTCAGATGTTGTATACTATGTATATATAATCATTTTTTATTGATGACTCAGTGATATCAAAGTAGTTGTAGCTATTGCCTTTTCCAGGTATCGTTGTTATTCTTCCAATACACCATGATCATTGCAGTGACATAATATTCCATACAAATCCCACAAGTCTCACTAGAGAGATGTGACACACAAAGTAGTCTTGTCAACCGAGTTATTTCACTAAAGTACAACGTTATCTGAATCCAAGTATTTTTACTCTGGGATCCTCATGCTGCTACTAGCTTTTTAAAACAAAAGGAAAGAAATCAATATCCCTCCATTTCAATTTACTAATCTATACAATGCAATAATTCTTTCCCTCTATTTGTTTCACTAGGAACTTGTGAAAGCTTAAATTAAGATAAAATCTTATAGCAAGGGTTGTGGATAGCCTTTTGCTCCATAGTTTATTTTTTGGGTGTTCAGGAAGTCTCATGTAGAAAATTATCTTTCAGAATGACACTCTGTTATTAAATTCTCTTTGTGTTAAGCATTGTCTTCTCAAGAGTACCGCTTTTGTAACAAAATATCCTTCCTTTGGCAAGACAAGTCAGATTACTCTTTTGTGTGAACCTAGAGCACTTAGAAGATAGAGTATACCCTTTAAGAAAGGATATTTGCATACTTTCTTATTTATCTTGAGACCAGAGGAAGTGTTTGCTTCATAGGATCATTTTCCAGTTCAGCTAGTGGGAGGGAAATGTATCCTTTGACTATCTAGGAGTTATTGTGTGATACTGGTCACAAATAGTACTCCTTGATTATTTAGGAACCAAATAGGCATTCTGTGAAATTCTATTCTTTCCATTCTCTCTTTTGCTCTCCATCTGACTTAACAAGAACTTCCAGTATCTTATGATCAGGGACCATACAAAGACAGAGTACTGGATCAGGAAATACTTTGACACTGAATCATGGTGTGTGACCTCAGGCACATCATGTAATATTTATGAGTGTCTTTCATAATCCATAAACAGGAATTAACCTTCACAATCACATTAGAATAATGGAAGAGAAAGCCCCTTGAAGGGGGTTCTAATCTTCTAGCCCCTATCTTAGTTTCTTTGGTTCAGAAGTTTGGTGGGGAGTTTTCCATTTTGGCTGAAGAGGGTATTTGGGTACTTCATTAACATATCAAAGATGTACCCCTCCCTATCTTCTTTTTCAAAACCAAACTAAAGTGAAATGTTTTCTTTTGTTATGCTGTTTATGGAGAATTTCAGCATCCGTTATGTAATTTTATTTATTCAACATCCCCATTTTATGGGTAACCCATTGAAAACCCATTGAAGTAATGGCCCCTGGAGTATTCATGAAGACTATTTATAGCCTATTCTTTTGGATATTTGGCTGTTTTCTTGTGATCTCCTTTTTTTGTCATTTGTGAATAAATTTTAAGCTATCTAAACCACAGAAATGTCTGGCTTTCAATCTTCTAGGCCACGCCTCTTCCACTCCCTCCGCCTTCACTCTCCACCTCCCTTACTTTTTAAAGCGCTGCAGTTTGCTGCTGTCGCCATTATTTCTTCTTCTTCTCTTGAGGTGGAATGGACTCTTGCTCATTAGCAGATGTCTTCACCCATGAGGTTCTTCTCTCTGGAACATTTTCCAGCTTATACTGTTCTTTATGGCACATTTCTTTGGAAAAAAAACACACACCGAGATTCTATAAAATACTTTTAAAATTCTATATTTTCTTCCAGTATTTTCTTGACATTTCCCTATTTTTCACGTATTTGGAACCTTTTTAGGCCACTTTCTATTTTAGAGGAACTTTTCTTTGCAACAATCTTAGGTTGAATCTTTTTTTTCTTTTTTGGTCTGTTTTTTTGTTTTTCTCATTCGTTTTCTGTTCCTTCTACTTTTGTATGTTTTGCCTGTCAGGGTGGTGGATACCTGGTTGTATCTCTTCATTTTTTAAATTTTGCCCATCGGGGCGGTGGATACCTGCTTTTAATTTTTTACCCCCCTTAGCCCATCGGGGCCTCGGATACCTGCTGTGTACCTTTCTCCCCCAAATTTCTGGCCCATCGGGGCAACGGATACCAGCTATTCAAAAATATATATATTTTTGGCTCATCGGGGCCTCGGATACCTGCTTTTATTTTTTTTTTTGCCTTGCCCATCGGGGCCTCGGATACCTGCTTTAATTTTTTTGTCTTGCCCATCGGGGTCGTGGATACCTGCTTAGATTTTTTTTTTTTTTTTTTTGCTCAAAAACTGATTGTTTTCTGTGGTTATACTATCTGGAATGTCTACAGATTTTTGCTGCTAATCGTTTGGTGTTGTGTGAGTGGATCTACGGCTTGGCTGGGAGATGACTTTGCAGTTAGGCTAAGGGGCTAGTTAGGCTGTGGAGGAAATATGGCGACCTGCCACTTTAAGATTGCTATGTGGCTCTGCTTATGGTCGAGCTCAGTATCAACTAGGGAGCAATAGGAAGACCGGGACAGGCAGAGGCAGTTATATGTATTGCGTGAGCTAAATATTCTGAATGAACTGATCTGGGGCTTCTTTGGAGCTTAGCATGAATAAGAATAGGGTCCCGTGTCAGATTACAAGGGGGCTAATTGAAAGTGAGAGGAGAGGGAAAAGACCTAAGGGCAGGGTTTAAAATGGCGACTTGACTTTGCAGTATTGCTCAGCATGGCTTCCAGCTTTGTTAGTGTCCAAAATGGCGTGTGCAATTTTGCCGCAGTGTTCCAGTGGCGGGAAGGCCACATCATGGTGGTGTCTTTGTTCTAGTGCGCAGCATGGTGGTAGAAATGCTCTGTTACAAGTTGTAAAATGGCGGCGAAAATTCTTGCTGAAGTGTAAAACATGGCGGGACTGGACTTTTGCCGCATACATTTCCTGACAGGTTTTGTCGCAGGGACAATATGGCAGTCCTTGTCATGTAGATGTAATGGCAGTTTGTCACGTGGACGTCCTGGCGGGGCGTTTTTTGCGCGGTACATTCTTGGCGGGCTTTGCTCCAGGTGGGCCTGCAGCATTGTTAAAGATGGCGAACATTTCCGCATTTGCTGCAAAAAGTGAAAGTGGGATGGTCAGTGTTGGTTGTCACGTGACCCACCCAATCAGATAGGGTGGTACAGTTGGATTTAGCCAATGAATGGAGGATGGAGTTAAACCAATTTAGCTTGGGTCCTCGAGGGCCATCATTATTCAGCCAATCAGGAGGTAGAAGCAGAAGTGCCACTTTCTTAAGTCTGCTCCCAGCAGGTGGTGCCCAAGGTCTTTCCAAGGACACTTGGCCTTTCCAGCTCCCTCCCCTCTTACCAGCTCCCTCCCCTCTTACCAGCTCCCTCCCCTCCAGCACTGCCATTTGCCATGCTGGGTAAATAGTTGCATGGTTGAGCTTCACCCCATTATTCTGCATTGGAACTGTGGCCTAAGGCTAGTCTACCCCGTGGCCTCTGCTCATTACACTATAGGAGCAGTGCTCCATGCCTGCTAAGTGTGAATATGGCAGAGAGTCGTGGCAAGGACCAAAATGGATCTCAGATGATCATTGGCCAACAGGTGACAGAGGAATCCCTGCATTCTTCAAGAGGAACCCCTACCCCGTGGCTAATGCTGGGGTTGGAATTTGATATCTACTTATTTTTTGGATGTCAGTCATAAATAGTTCGATTATGTGTTTTGCTAGGTTTAGATACAAGCCTCAAGTAACTATTATGGCTTTGTATGTAGAATTTATTTCAATTACATTTAATGTGTAATTGTTCTTTAAAATTTCCAATTTCTTTATAAGTGGCTTAAGCTTTCCCTTTTTTCTGATTTAAGATATCCAAAGTCAAATAAGTTGGCATTAAGTTTTTTCAATAATCTTTTACTTTCAAGTACACTTAAACTACTTCACTTTGGATTTTTGAACAGTCTTATAGCACAGTTAATTAAAAGTTAACTTTATGACCGAATACAAAAAAAAATCTGAAGGTCCATTCTAGTCTAGGCCTTGCTTTGTTCCCATCTTTAATGCTGCACAAATTGACTAATGACCAACCTATCAGGCAGGAAACTAGAATTGCTCTAGACTTGTTTCCTCTATTCAGACTTATGCTGGAGCATTAAATGCCCACATTTTCAATTTTCTGTGGTAACCTGCCTCCAGAGTCCCGAGCCCTGCTCCCAGAACTATTCCATTTAGCCCTAGTCTTTCCAAATCTGCCCTCACTAGCCCCGGCCCCAGCCCCAGCCCCAGCCCCAGCCCCGGCCCTAACCCTGGCCCCGGCCCCAGCCCCAGCCCCAGCCCCAGCCCCGGCTCCGGCCCCGGCCCTGGCCCCAGCCCCGGCCCCTGCCCCAGCCCCAGCCCCAGCCCCAACCCTGGCCCCAGCCCTCTACCTCTCCCTAAATCCACTCCAATTATTGATTCAATACTAAAAATAAGTCATCTCTCATCATCCCTTGTTCATCTGTTTGAATGTGATGCCTTACCTGCCTCTAGTATTGCCGATGTTTGATGCTGACTGAGTCATCATTTTCAATTAATGTACAAAATTCCATTTGTCCATTGTCCCATGTTAGAACAAAGAAGTCTATACACCATTACATTAGGAAATGTTAATTAATCAAGAGTTTCATATCAGACAATTGTCCTTAATTCTAGTTACTACTCACTTTCTCAATCCCCTGCCCTTTAAGAGAGGAGAAACCATTCCTCTGTCATTGCTGCAGTAGTCACAGTACCAACTCTTTTGGCAGTGTTCAAATACTGTGCTGACCACCTAAACTCTTTGCACTGAGTAAAATTCTAATTATCCATGATCCTGCCTGTCGTATTACATTCCAATTAAAAACACTTGCATACTGCAGTGGATGCAGAAAACCCAAGTCTTTGCTCAACAGTTAACGTGCTCAGTCCCAGTTGCCATAGCCTTGTCCAAAACCACCCTACTTACCATCGTTGCCCCGTGCCTGAGGAGTCCTGCTGTTCTGAGACAAGTAAAAAACCAAAATGTAATTCTGCATTGTCTCACCTGCAATCAGCGATCCTCCGTACCTTTTGTATTGCAACGAGGCAGTGCCATCTGAGACCATGTTCCGTGAATAAGTAATCAGTAGAATTCCAGTTGGCTGTGTCCCTGTTAATTACAGAAATCCTTTGCAACTTCGGGCTATTGCAGAGATGTTAATGCTCAAGGCCCTTTACTTTGGAATATTAATGGATACAATTGTTCATGGTCCTGCCTAACAGGTAAGACCCACCCATACTCTTTTCATTACTTACAAGCTTTAAGAATATGTAAAACACTCATTGCTCATAGTCCCTCCCACCCATTAGTTTAGGATATCCCTAATCTCTGTAGCATTGTACTTTCTCTTAAAGAGTTGATATGCATAATTGCATATATTCATACTCCTGTGCAATTAAAAAAAACCCAAAAAACCGAATCCTACCCCATCACACCATCTAGGATATTGCTAAGGAGTGATTTATTCAAGAAATTAGCACTTGGACAGTAAAATTTCACAGTTATAGTTTTTACTGGCTAGAGTACTGTTTATTTGAAAGGTCCACTATATCCCATGTAGTAGCTGTAATATTGGCCTGAAACTCGAGGACCCTTCACTTGAATTAATAATATCCATAATTGCTTTTATCCACGTCTGAACTAGCCACAGCCATTCCCTTAGAATTCCAGCAGGGGACCTTGAGTACTCAAGAACGATGCACTAGGACAGATTACGTTCACAATTCTAATTGATTAGTAGTGACCATTGTGTTGGGAATGAAGCACCACTTTACATCTGAAAAGTGATACTTAAGGCTCCTGCCACAAATTCCGTGCAAGATTGTGGGCCCGGATGTCTCCTGTTAATTTGGATCCATTGCATACCTAACTCTCTTAAATTACCACAGAGGGTACTTGGAACTGTTAATGTGCTCAAATGCCACTACAGTACTTAATATTACTAAAGAATCTACCCATGATGATTTTGTACTGAAAGAGAAAGTCCTTGGGGCAGTTAATGTATATAAATGCCACTGCTGTTCTTTTGTTACTTAGAACCCACTGATCCTCACTTTGCATTAAAACCGGGCCCCTTGGAAAAATAAATGTGCTTAAATGCCACTGCTGTACTTTATTCTTTTTTTAATCCCCATGCAAAGACATTTTTCATTGCTTTGAAAAAGAAAAGGAAGAAACATCCCATGCAAGAGAAAAACATCAATTGGCTGCTTCCTGTACAGGCTTTGACAAGGGATTGAATACACAACCCAGGTATATATTGCCTTGACTGGAGATGGAACCAGCAATCTTTTGTTTTAAGGGACTAAGCTCCAACTCGCTGAGCCATACTAGCCAGGACACCACTGCTGCTCTTATGGTAGTACGAAGCCCACCCATTAAAACAGGGTCCTTGGGACAGTTAATATGCTTAAATGCCACTGCTGCACTTTGTTCTTTTTTCTTTATCCCTGCTCGAGGATATTTTTTCATTGCTTTTGAAATCAAGAGGAAGGGAGAGTGAGAGAAACATCGATGTGAGAGAGAAGCACTGATCAGCTGTCTCCTGCACACTCTCCAACAAGGGATCCAATACACAACTCAGGTATATATGCTCTGACTCGAGATGGAACCAGAAACATTTCTGTTTACTGAGCGAACCTCCAACTCAGTGATCCACACCGGCCAGGGCACCACTGATGCTCTTACGATACTGCAGAATCCACCCATCCTCATTTCGCATTAAAACAGGGTCCTTTGGGCAGTCAATGTGCCTAATGGCACTGCCTCTCTTATGTAACTATGGACCCACCCATCCTCACTTTGCATTAAAACAGGGTCCTTTGGGCAGTTAATGTGCCTAATGTCACTGCCTCTTATGTAACTATGGATCCACCCATCCTCATTTTGCATTAAAACAGGGTCCTTTGGGCAGTTAATGTGCCTAATGCCATTGCCTCTGTTATTACTATAGAATACATATCCTCACTTTGTATTAAAATGGGTCCTTGGGGCAGGTAATGTGCCTTTTGCCACTGCCGCTCTTGTTTTACCATGGAGCCCACCCATCCTCACTTTGCATTAAAACGGGTCCTTTGGGCAGTTAATGTGCCTAATGCCATTGCCACTGTTATTACTATAGAATACATATCCTCACTTTGTATTAAAATGGGTCCTTGGGGCAGGTAATGTGCCTTTTGCCACTGCCGCTCTTGTTTTACCATGGAGCCCACCCATCCTCACTTTGCATTAAAACGGGTCCTTTGGGCAGTTAATGTGCCTAATACCATTGCCACTGTTATTACTATAGAATACATAGCCTCACTTTGTATTAAAATAGAGGGTCCTTGGGGCAGGTAATGTGCCTTTTGCCACTGCCGCTCTTGTTTTACCATGGAGCCCACCCATCCTCACTTTGCATTAAAACGGGTCCTTTGGGCAGTTAATGTGCCTAATGCCATTGCCACTGTTATTACTATAGAATACATATCCTCACTTTGTATTAAAATAGAGGGTCCTTGGGGCAGGTAATGTGCCTTTTGCCACTGCCGCTCTTGTTTTACCATGGAGCCCACCCATCCTCACTTTGCATTAAAATGGGTCCTTTGGGCAGTTAATGTGCCTAATGCCATTGCCACTGTTATTACTATAGAATACATAGCCTCACTTTGTATTAATATAGAGGGTCCTTGGGGCAGATAATGTGCCTTCTGCCACTGCCTCTCATGTAACTGGAGCCCACCCATCCTCACTTTGCATTAAAACAGGGCTCTTGGGGCAGTTAATGTGCCTTTTGCCATTGCCTGTCTTATGTAACTGCACCCATCCATCCTCTTTGTGCATTAAAACAGGGTCCTTTGGGCAGTTAATGTGCCTAATGCCATTGCCACTGTTATTACTATAGAACACATGTCCTCACTTCGTATTAAAATAGAGGGTCCTTGGGGCAGGTAATGTGCCTTCTGCCACTGCCTCTCATGTAACTGGAGCCCACCCATCCTCACTTTGCATTAAAACAGGGCTCTTGCAGCAGTTAATGTGCCTTTTGCCATTGCCTGTCTTATGTAACTATGCACCCACCCATCTGCATTAAAACAGGGCCCTTTGGACAGTTAATGTACCTAATGCCATTGTCGCTCTTATTACTACAGAACACATGTCCTCACTTCGTGTTAAAATGGAGGGTCCTTGGTGCAGGTAATGTGCCTTCTGCCACTGCCGCTCTTATTTTACTATGGACCCCAGGTGTCCTCACTTTGCATTAAAACAGGGCTCTTGGGTCAGTTAATGTGCCTTCTGCCACTGCCTCTCTTATGTAACTATGGACCCACCCATTCTCATTTTGCATGAAAACAGGGTCCATTGGGCACTTAATGTGCCTAATGCCATTGCCACTGTTATTACTATAGAACACACATATCTTCGTTTTGTATTAAAATAGAGGGTCCTTGAAGCAATTAAAGTGCCTTCTGCCACTGTCTCTTATGTAACTCTGGACCCACCCATCCTCTGCCTGCTTTAAAACAGAGCCCTTGGGGCAGATAATGTGCCTAGTGCCACTGCCACTCTTATTTTACTATGGACCCCAGCCATCCTCCTCACTTTGCATTAAAACCAGGGACCCTGAGGCAGTTAAAGTGCCTTCTGCCACTGCCTCTCTTATGTAACTGGAGCCCACCCATCCTCTGCCTGCTTTAAAACAGAGTCCTTGGGGCAGGTAATGTGCCTAGTGCCACTGCCACTCTTATTTTACTATGGACCCCAGCCATCCTCCTCATTTTGCATTAAAACCAGGGACCTTGAGGCAGTTAAAGTGCCTTCTGCCACTGTCTCTTATGTAACTATGGACCCACCCATCCTCACCATGTATTAAAAACATGGCTCTTGGGGCAGGTAATGTGCCTAGTGCCACTGCCACTCTTATTTTACTATGGACCCCAGCCATCCTCCTCACTTTGCATTAAAACCAGGGACCCTGAGGCAGTTAAAGTGCCTTCTGCCACTGCCTCTCTTATGTAACTATGGACCCACCCATCCTCACCATGTATTAAAAACATGGCTCTTGGGGCAGGTAATGTGCCTAGTGCCACTGCCACTCTTATTTTACTATGGACCTCAGCCATCCTCCTCACTTTGCATTAAAACCAGGGACCTTGAGGCAGTTAAAGTGCCTTCTGCCACTGTCTCTTATGTAACTATGGACCCACCCATCCTCACCATGTGTTAAAAACATGGCTCTTGGGGCAGGTAATGTGCCTAGTGCCACTGCCACTCTTATTTTACTATGGACCCCAGCCATCCTCCTCACTTTGCATTAAAACCAGGGACCCTGAGGCAGTTAAAGTGCCTTCTGCCACTGCCTCTCTTATGTAACTATGGAGCCCACCCATCCTTATTTTGCATTAAAACAGGGTCCTTGGGGCAGTCAATGTGCCTAGTTCCACTGCTGCTCTTATTTTACTATAGACCCCAGCCATCCTCACTTTGCATTAGAAGAGGGTCCTGGAGGCAGTTAATGTGTCTTCTTCCACTGCCTCTCTTATGTAACTATGGAGCCCACCCATCCTCACTTTGCATTAAAACAGGGTCCTTGGGGCAGTCAGTGTGCTTATATGCCACTGTTACCCATTTTCTCAGTCTGGGACCTCATTTGCTCCTCCATGTGCTTTATTTCAGAAGATACTTGGGACTGTTAATATACTTACATATGGCTACAGTCCCTTTTGTTACTCTGGAACCCTGTCTCCCATCTCTGCGTATAATTCTGGGAGCAGAATTATTAATGAAATGTGCTTAATTGCAACTGTGGTGCCTTCTGTTGGTGTCTTTTTCCATCTCTTTCCAGTCTTTGCATACAGCAGGGAGTGCTTAAGGGTGTTAACAGGCTTCATTGCAGCTACTGCCCTTTCTGTTAATCTAGGGTCCCATACCCTCCAAGTTCATTTACATTTACTGGGAGTATATTTTCTTTTGTGAAGTGCAGCAGTGGTCCCTGTTCTTTGTTTAGGTTCCCATCTACCTCCTACTCCTTTACAATATCTGGATGGGCATTTGGGATTGTTAATGTACTTAATCGGAGCTGTGGTCCCTTCTGTAATTCCAAGATCACATTGTCCTTTTCCCTTTACATTACCAAGGAGGGTTTTGGGGACTGTTAAAAGTGGTCAGTTGGAGCCGCTGTCCCTCGTGTTAGTCTAGGATCCCCCATGCTCCAACTCACTTTGCATTACTACAGTATTATAGTTGGGACTGTTAATGTGCTTTAAAGGCAGCTACAGTCCGAGCTAAATGCTCCTAAACATCTTTTGGTTAAATGCAGGTTTAGTCTCTTGTTAGTTTAAGAACATACTATCTTTAACTTCTGTCATTTGGGACTTAACAATTTTAATTGTAGCTGTGGTCCCTTCTGTTAATCTTCCTTCACAATACAGGATACTTGGGACTGTGAAGGTGTATTCCTCCCTGTTACATCTGTTATTCTTACAGAAGAGGTTCTGAACACCAAGATCCCTACTTTTGCACCGTTGATGTGCAGTATTGCTTTTGTACATCCGTCTCTGCAGGGGATATAGACCTAACTCATCTTCCTTGTGTTCAGCAGTGGATGCCCTTTACTAAGGACCTTCGTACTAGTAAAAGTGAATCATGATAACTGATCACAACTATGTCTCATTTAAGACCTCTGTACCCTCTTCATTTTACAAGACTGTTAATTAGCTTTTACTTTTTTTCTGGGACTATTTATGTGCAAAATTCAATGCTTGGAAAGTTCATGTGCACAAATGTAATTTTATAAGCATATCTCATACCAGAATGACTGGACCCTCTTTGCTTTAGTACAACGAGGTGTTATTCAGCTAATAACCCCTCTTTTTGGATTTCAGTGTTCATAATTGCAATTGTCCATCTCTTTTGTTGGAGTACAATTATGTCCCCTTATTCCCCTTTACATTAGGGGCATGTTAACTATTAATGAGCTCTTTTCTTGAGATTATTAATGTGCATAATTAATTGTATTTGTCTGTGGACTTGTGCAGTAGTGGGAAAGGATCCTCTGTGCCCCTACCACTGCCTTTGAATTACTGCTGAGCAGTGGAATTACGACATCAGCTCTTGAATAGTTATCCAAAGTACTGATTATTATGTAGGACCCCTATACCTTTGTATACATCAAGGATAATGACTCACCAAGGTCCCTTTTTTGGACTGTTAATTTTAATATTTGCAATTACCTATGCCCCCTTCTATTAGAATAGGATATGATTCCCTTACACTCTGCATTACTGCAGGGGCTGCTGACCACACAAAACCTCTAGGAATGTTAATAGGCACATAGCAATTAAAAATAGGTTTTTCCTCCCTGGCCTTGTTAGGAAAGCATCCCCAGCCCCAGTTTCCCATGGCATCATAAAGTATAAACATGACAATATGCTCTGAACTTATCCTTCAAACAGCAATCCAGACTCCCACTCCTTTTCAGAGCATAAAATTCCAAGTAGTCCTGGTGTTACCGTCCCTCTCCTGACCTCTTGTCTGTCCTTGGACCCTAATGGACTATTAATAACCAGTTTCAGGTGTCCATGTATCCAGCTATTACATAATATTATGGGGCCTGCCCCACCCAGCCCTGCCCCGTCCTGCCCCGTCCTGCCCCGTCCTGCCCCGTCCTGCCCCGTCTTGCCCCGTCTTGCCCCGTCCTGCCCCTTTTGTATTATTGGTGAGGATTGTTGACTTGGTCAAAGCCCTTTCACTTGGACTTAGAGGTATGTTAACAATCCCGGATGTCATTGGTTTAACCAGTTTGTATTTCTCTGGTGCTTCAGTTGCACTTTCCTTGGTCCCGCCCATCTAACATGAACCCCTCCACTTTTTTGCATTGCTTCTAAACAATGCTGACTACCTCAAGGCCCTTCTGTGTTGATTAATACAGTAATGATTGTTCAATTTTTTCAGACTATCAGCCCAAACTCTCCCTACCACTTTGATGTATTGTTTGTGCAGTGTTGATTATTACCAAAAGCAGGCCTGAACTAGGTATTATTAGGTGGGCCTTCACACCTTTTCTTGAATTTGTTAATGACCCAAATTCCAATTATTGTCCCATTCTTGGGAACAGGAGCTATCCCTGCCCACCTCTGTTACTCATTACTGGGCAAAATATTTAAGGCAAGTCAGGCCCAGGGAGCTGGACCCTTTATATTCTTAATTTTTAAAAAAATTTAAAAGATTTTATTTATTTGTAGAGAGGGGAAGGGAGGGAGAAAGAGGGAGAGAAACACCAATGTGTGGCTGCCTCTTGTTCACCCTCTAGTGGGGACCTGGCCCACAACCCAAACATGTGCCCTGACTGGGAATCCAACCGCTGACCCCTTGGTTCACAGGCTGGCACTCAATCCAATGAGCCACACCAGCCAGGGCTATATATTCTTTATTTTCTATATATATGTAAGTATTAGTTGAGAGTTGTCTCCCCAGGAAGGAACGTTTGCGCTTTCTGCGTTCTTCGTTCCAAAGCAGGTTGTGTGGCCAAGAATTTCTACTCTCTTATTGTATATTGCTGTTCTGCAGAATTAATTGCCAGGGTACAGTAAAAAAGTTCCTGGTTAATTTTTATTAAGAAAGACATGGATTGCAAAGTGGTATTGATAACCTGGTCATTAAGTTCTTGAAGTTAAAAATATATCATGTATCTGATGACCAGTGTCTCTCATTTTACTAAGGGTGGTGAGTCTGTGGATAGACCACTGTGACACTTAAGACCAGTATTTTTGGGCTCTACCACCATTTTAAAAATATGCCTTGTTTGGGCCACACAACCATTCACTTTTAGAAAAACTACCTAAAATTTTGAATCCTTAAATTTATTCATCTGAAACACCAACCAGCCCCTACTTATTTCAAGATCAGTGTAAAAGAATGAAATGAGACAACACATGGAAGTGCTTTTGAAAACCATAGATAACCTTATTTGATTAACATATTACATAAAATATGCCCTGTTTGATTGTGCTTGTCTTAAGTATTCTTAAGCACCACACTGAAGAGAGGACTTAAAAATGATGGCACCTGTTTCCCTGTATTATATCACAAGAAAAATAAGCCAAGATGTAATCAGTCTTGTGGATGTAAATTTCAACAGTGAGCTGCCTGGTAAAGGTGAATAGCCTAGCCTCTAGTATGCAGGTTGTGGTGGCAGAGAAGCATTTAATAAGGAACTGCTGAAGCAAATAACTAGTTACAACAACAGCAGTTCTTTGTGATCACTTGAAAAGGGTACTATTCCTCTGAACAGGATGTCAAATGGTCAGCCCAGGTTAGGGTGCAGTTTGCATTACTAGCTCCTTGGACAGCTGTAAGAAGAGTCTCTGGCTCTTTAGAATACTGTAAGTACTACTTTGTAGTTACAAAGTAATCTTTTCTCTATTCTGTTCTCTTTCTCTTAGATGCTACCCATTAGAAAAGTCAGAAGTTTCCTGTTAAGTTTCCTTTCCCGGTTCTCACATCATCTGCTATAAATAATGTATCTCACCATGTGAGTTAACCAACAGAATTATAGCATTACTATTGTGTACCTGGCCCTATGCTAGATTGCACTTAAGTGATGTAGTGCTGTATTTCATCTCATCCCCTACATAGTTGTATTGTTGAGCCTAATACAAGCACACTTGAAATAATTTTAGGAAATGGTAATCATGTGCTGTCTTGTATGAATTATAAGTTAAAATTGAATAAAGGGAGCCCACCAAGGTTTGAAGTTTATAAGATAAACTTAAGGAGTTGGGTTTACTTTTTCTGTTTGGTCCAGGATATGATTAATATTGCAGCCATCTGGGTAGTCCAGTTGGTTTATTTAATGCCATTTGTTTTTCACTTCTTGGAGTCATGAAATTGATTAAAGAGATAAGGCCTAATCATTGTGTTAGGCTATATGCCATGGCTGGCAAATTGTTGATTGTTAAATCTCATTATAAGCTTGAGCTTTTACAGGGTTTGCAGATTTGGGATATAAATCTGATACATTGGCTCTCTGTACGTTTTTATTCTATCTCTGCCCAAGAACAAATGGGAGTAGTGATGATGCCTTTATAGTCTGAGATATTTGCGGAACCTGTTTGACAAGAGGGCAATGGAGAAGTATAAGTTTTATAAGAAAACCATGACCTTGCCCACTTTATGAAGTTAATATACCCTCTTCCCCTTTGCCTTTTTCAGCAGGTACCTTGGAAAGCAAAAAAGCTTAGCCTCTCTGATAAAACAAAGGTACAGCTAAAAAATATGAATATTAAATTTGAAACATTTTTGTGTACATTAGTGCATCCCTACAAGGAACAAGAAGCACAATTATGAGCTGGGCTTCTCTTACTGCCCCTTTTACTTCATATCCTTGCTTCCTCACAGCTTGTTGTGTCCCCACCACCCATTCCCACCAAGTGCCTAATGACATTATTTGTCTGACTGACTGGGTACTATACAAATGGTCCCAAGCCTTCTTAGAAACATGGTCTGTGCCGTTGTTTCTCAAACTGAAGTAATTTGTCAAAATGAAACACTTTTTACAGGAACAAAATTCTTGAGATCCTAAAGAACATGTGTTTTGAGGACCATTGACTTAAGAAAGTTATTTGAAATATAAACATGTTTCCCAGTTTCAGTATAACTTTGTGAAAGATATTTATATATAATATATATAAAATATATGTAATGTTTTATATAATTTACATAGGACTTGGGGACCATGACAATATATCCACAAACCTCCAAGGTTCTTATCACCCCAATTTGAGAAACACTGGTCTATACTCATGAGATCTTTTATTGCTATTAATGAAATTGTCATTCATTGTTAACATACAACTCTAATTATTTATTGGAATTTGTTTTAAAGGGATGAATTCAGAGCCAGTTCTGAACCCCTACTCAGGAAGCATGAGTCAATTTTAGGTGGATTGAAGTCTGCACTAGAAAGCATTCAAAGGTGAATTTTGGAATTGTATTTTAATTCCTTGCTCAAAATAAAATCTTTAGCATGTGTAAAAATAGATGCTGTGGAAATGTTGGCATCTTCAAAATCGAGATAACTTTTGTTAACTCAGCAAAGAGTTAAGTATTGGAATAAATAGCAATACCAAAGACATGATTCAAATGAAAGAATTTGTTATCTCATGGATGATGCAGAAATGAACAAATCATGGTATTGGGAAATTTGATGAGTACCATAAAAACTTTGGGAAGTTCTGTGGTTATATACAGAAAGAAGAGTGGATGGAAACACTGAGCCAAAGTGATGGCAAGGGGAAAATGTAAGGTTCCTAGGGAGTAACTTGGTCAGTAGGCTCAGTGAATATGTGAGTTGAAGGCTTACAGGGCATTACTCCATTATTACTTCTTCTTTTTTTTTAAGACTTTTTATCTTTAGAGGGGAAGGGAAGGAGAGAAGGAGAGAAATATCAATGTATGGTTGCTTCTTGTGTGTCCCCTGCTGGGAACTGGCCTGCAACCCAGGTATGTGCCCTGACTGGGAATTGAACCTTGATCCTTTTGTTCCCAGGCCTGCGTGCAATCCACTGAGCTATACCAGCCAGGGCCCATTATTACTTCCTGCAAGAGCATTTTAATGAAGCACATGTTCTCATATGTCAGGTGGATTGCTATTTTTCATGGGTTTGGGGGCAGAAGTGAGATGGTGGTAAAATTATTTTTAAAAAGTTGTGAACTGGGAATAAGAACAGCTAAGCTTTGGTCCTGTCTCTAACCTTGGATTGGATCACCATCCATGTCAATATTAGTGTCTAAGGACTACTGATGTATTAAGAGAGGGACTTGAGTTGAATCCCTCAACCCTTGAAAATATTTTTGTGTCATTTGCAAAATTTTCAAAGGGTCAAAAAAGAAAGCACTTAAAATTCTCTTGCTATTTCTCTAAATGGTTATTCTGATTTTCCCCCCTGACTTTCCTCCTTACAGAACCTTAATATATAGGATTGGAGGAAGTTTTCTGACTCCAATTTTATGAGTCTTTTTCCATATTCCCCTTTAGTTTTTCCACCTATCGTTCTGTAAGTTATTTCTCTAACCACTCCCTGATTCGGCGTAATTTCTTTTCAGGGTATCTGGGCCCTGGTTTTCAAATGTACATCTGGATGGGAGTTTGTGACTTGAAGTAAAATAATTAAATGTTGATCTGTGGTGGCTACTAAGATATTCCTATTTCTGAAGGCATTCTGGGAAACATTTCACTTGCTTTTAAGATGAGTAAACTGTTATTTGAACTGAGCTGTTTCTCCAAACCTTATATTCTTGGATGGCAAAGAGAACTGTCATGTATGGTTACACAGAGGTGATGTCTTCCTCTGCCTCAAGTATTACAAGCTGAATTTGAAGAAAACTTTAGTTTCCAACTAACAGATTCTTGACTACAGAGGAGTAGCACTTAACACTGGTTTTCTTCCAAATCCAACTCAAGTTGGATTTCAAGTATTTGAGACTTAGCTAACCTGCTGAATTAGCAAATTAAACTTCAATGGCCATGTACCGTATATATCATTGTATTGGTGCCATTGAGAGAGAGAAAGAGAGAGAAACACATCAGTTGTTGCCTCCTGTACTCGCTTCCAACACACAACGTTTTGGTACATAGGATGATGCTCCAACCAACTGAGCCACCCAGCCAGGATCAGTTAATTAGCTATATTTGTATTGGTAATTTGTATTTTACTTGATTGTTTTTCCTAGGCCATTCCAAATTAGAGCACTGAGACATAGAATGTTAGGTTCCTTGTGCATCCTATACAACTAAGTTCAATAAAGAACTCTTCATTGTTTTGATGCCTACTTTGGAAATGACTTTTTGATTTCCTCAAAAAGTGAAAATGAAGCAAAATTTAAATTTGACCAGTGCTAGATTTCTTTTTCTTGAAGATTTTATTTATTTTTAGAGGGGGGAAGGGAGGGAGAGAAACATCAGTGTGTGGTTGTCTCTTGTGCGCCACCCCCCTTACCACCACTGGGGACCTGGCTCACAGCCTAGGCATGTTCCCTGACTGGGAATCAAACGGGCATCCCTTTGGTTCACAGGCTGACACTGAGTCTACTGAGCCACACCAGCCAAGGGGTAGTGTTATATTTCTTAGATGATGTTTAGGCTTAAAGTATTTTGTTTGACCAACTAGAATGCCATTGTTTTGGTTTGTCCAGAAATATTTGAGGCTATGAAACAGACTAAAGTAATACCCTCTTAGTTCATAAACTAATCATATGCTTTTAATAAAATAAGAATGTGGCTGGCAGATCACTGTACACTATGAGTTTCATAAACTGTGTAGCTTACTTTAATCCACAGCTTTGAAAGCTTTTGGCATACTGTATTTTATGCTTTGTTAGTATGACTGCCATCGTACAGTGTTGGTGTGCAATTACTCTATGATCTGTACATCATTAAAATTTTCCAGCCTTATAATACCCCCCTTGATTGAAAACTAGTTATTAATGCACTACCTTTTTAAAAAATAATGGATTGAGTAAGTCTTTCCAGGAAATCTGTTGAAGAATAACAATAGGAAGAACTTAATTGCTAAAGTCTTTTAAAATAATGTTTTGATATTATGGATAATTGAATGGGCCTTATGTATTTTAACTTTAAAATAAATCCCTATAAAGAGAAACGAAAGAGAGCCAAGTCTATAAGCCAGATTTGCAAACAATGATTGTACAAATGAAATTCCTTTTGCTTTTTTAAAAACTGCATTTTATAATCCTTCAGTATCTTGTTGGGAGAGTTAAGAAAAACCCCCAAACTTATTTTAGAACAGCTTTAGAGTTTCATAGAATAATTCTAAAGCTATTACGGAGAGGTCCTGTATACCCCATACCCAGTTTACTCCATCAACATCCTATAGTACTATGGTATGTTTGTCATAATTAGCAATATTGAAACATTATTATTAGGGAAATCCCATATTTCATTCACATCTCTTCTATTTTCCCCTAGTATCCTTCTATTGAGAGTTGTCTGATGTTTCTTCTCATGACTAAACTGGGTTTGTGAATTTTTGGGAGGGAGACCACAGAAATAAACTGCCAATATTTGTTAGAAGTTTATACTACCAACATAAGACATGACATACCACTGTTGATGTTGATTGTGATTACTTATATTATACAATTAATATTTTTGTTATATTTGATTAAACTCTTGAAAATTCATATGCATACTTTAAGTTCATGGAAGTAATTTTTAAGTTAAAGGGTATGAAAAAATAAAGAACTTTTTTGCTTAGATCTGTAATAAAACTATAAAACACAGCAACTGTACAGAATAGTAGTGAATGAATGGCTATTAATATGTAAAAATAATACTACTCTTATGGTGTTGCTCCTTTGCAGCATAGCATGTTTCTACTGTTACATGCTGTGATAATGCACCTAACCAAATTGCTTTTATCAAGCTGCTGCAAAATCTTATAGCACATAGCAATAGTATTTGGTTTTTATTAGGCACAAAACATATTGTTTTCCTCTTTTATTTTCTTTATGCTCCAGGCAACAAAAGTAGTTCCATTTGCCAGCAGTCTGGCAGTGCAATCCTCCATTATGAGGCAGTCATCTAGCTGATTCATGATATACTTACGGTGAAATAAATATAGTAAAAATTTTGTAGAAAACTGTCTCTCTGAGAGTACTTGCCCAGACTCAAGTGAAAATATTTTTGAATTGAGAGAAGACCTGGTTTTACCTATCATGTTGGTTATAACCTACCACCCTTGGTTATATAACATTGAGGGTTCTCATCTACTGCCCTTCCAGTTTCTTTATGTGGAGAATGGGAAAGTACTGGAATACATGATCAGTAATATTCTTTCTAATGGTGATAATTATGTGATTTGTCTAGTGTTGGAGTATCTGAATCAGGTGGCTGCCTATGCTTATTTTTAATGTTTAAAGTACCTTTACAATTTGTCAGGCTAACGGATAATGGATCAAGAATCTAAGAATTCTTGACAGTGAATATTGAACCCTAATGGAATGCATGGTTCTGTACTAAATCCAAAATGTAACTACTTCCTCTGGCTTTAGATTCCCTTTAAAGGAAAGGGAATGCTCCTTGTATATGTCATCATTATAATAGCATAGGCTTTTGATGCTAAAACAGCCATACTCAAATATGGGTAGAGTAGCTCAGAAGATCTTGGAAGATGAGAAAAGTCGTTTCTTTTCAGGTACCTTAAGTAGACAGTATATAAATGAATTTGAGCTTGGATCCATTTAAAAGTTCTTTTGGGAAATTTTGCTTTCATGTAGTGTCCATTTGTCACCACTCCTGGGGTTCAGGAGGGAGCACAGTAAATATGTGTAATGTTTAATTGGAAGCCTGTATTTGGGGATGAAGTATCTAATCTTAGGTTAAATAAGGATGGCATGAGAATTTGCCAAGAGAATTTTATCATGTTCTGCTTATATTGAGAAAATCATAGAATACCAGTTTGGCTTTACTGGACATTAGAGAATCTAGAGTTGAGTAAGTGATCTTTCACACACTACTATGAGATTTTTTTTGATGTTGACATAAAGCCCCTTATAAATAATATGGTAATTCCTGATCAGAAATCTATAATCCATATCTGATTCTTTCCATACCGTACCATACCATGCAAAGTGCTTTCAAGATTGCAAACCTGGCTTAGACTTGCTTCAGGGAGCTAGAAAAGGCAGCTCACCAAATATTAAACATGGTCAAGGCAATTGTAATTCTAGGAAGTAGTAGCAGTTGCTCTGTTACCTTGAGTAGCTTAAAGTATTTGACCTTTAGGCCACAAATTTACTTAGCCTTTAACATGGGTATTGGTTTGACCCATATTTTAATTTAATTCTTTTCTTACCCACTTGCCTAACCTTCTGTGATACTGCCAATGCTTGATATCACAGGACTTTAGGGAGACTGTACAGGATAGAAATGAGAGACAGGACACACTTACACCTAATGATTCAGGTTAATGCTTCCTAGTTTTTGTTTTTTGTTGTTGTTGACATTTTTTCAATAGTTTTGGTGTCCTATCCTACTGAGCCTTGTGTTTCTCCTCAAGGACAATATGAGCATGTAAGACCTGAGGAATCCAAGCAGTTCTAAGAAGCTCTGTATTCAGCAGATCTTTCTTCTGAGAATCTGGATGAGCTTCATCTAATCTAAAGGTGCCTTGTAGGTCACCTGGACAAAAAGGTAGTTTGGGGAGTTTATTTTGTTGTGGGAATACTGTCTTTGGCATTAAGGACTTTTAACTGAACAAGAGCCATTTTCATTGATTCTTATAGTTTTTTTCCCCTATATATGTGCATTTTAACTTTCTAGAATGAATTTGGCTTATTTTGTTTATCCTTCAGAGCTAGGTTCCAGTGAGGTCTATAAGAGCAAGTACACTTGATCCCCATTTCATAAATGAAGAATTAGAAATACAAAACAATAAATTACTTATTTTCAAATCTTGGAGCTACTTAGGAGACAGAACAAACCTATGCCTTCTGATTAACAGTCCTTGACAATTATTTCTACTTTCCTTTGGCATACTGGTAAGTGCTGAGGATTTGTTGATGAGTAGCAAACTTGATCTGTATCATAGTCCTGTTTTGGCAGGCTTAATTCTATTGTCACTGTCATTCCTTTACTATCTTAAGAAGTTGAAGGTTAGTTTGAAAAGTCATGAAATTGCTAAAAGGTAAAATAACAGATACCCAAAGGCCTGTGTTAAGCTGTTTACTGGATTCCTAACCTTCTATATGTTGTTTTTCCTTCCGTGTAGATTTGCCTAGCTGTCGTAATAACTGTCACTGTAACTATTCTCAATTGAATACAGTAGTGTCCCATCTATGAAAGTTGTTTAAGAAATATACCATGCGGATTGAGTAGAAAACAGTTCTTTTTACCATGACAGTGCTCCAGCATATGACTACTTAACATACGAATTAAAATCAAGGAATGCCAAAAAACTAGCTGAAAGAGACACTTTGTGGTAGATTGCTCTCTCATTAAAGCAGTGCTTTATAAAAAAAACCTGAGGCAATGCGAAGAAGAGTTCTTATAAATCTCAATAGGATCAGACCATACTGGAGCTTTTCTAAGTAGCTTGATAGTTTTTTGGTTTGGAATTCTTTAAAAATAATAGAATCCCTTCTATTATTTTTAACCCCTTAATTTCTTGACCTGACACTGTATTTTATGGTGAGAACACCAGAACATGAATGACACTATAGAAGATTGCTCATTAGTAGAGACCGGAGAATAAAGCACAGTAGGAGAATTTTGGTAATTATTCAACTCTAAATTTCTCTTTGAGATGAAGAGAAATTCAAGGAATGGAGCTGGGATGAATAGAAAAAAATTTTAAAGGCTGGTATCTAGAATATAGAACTCTCCACAGTTCTCAATCTTTACCCCTCAATCCATATGAAAGAAAAAGGGTAGACATCATTTAATTTAGGCATCAGTTGCTGTTTGAGACAGACTTTCATAGTATACTGCATTAAAGTAATTTAATTTTTTATCTCTTCTCCAGATCTTCTTCAGAAGAATAGGCTTGTTGCTTTACAGTGTTAGTGACCCATTCCCTTTGACGATCCCTAGGTGGAGATGGGGCATGAGGATCCTCCAAGGGAAAAGCTCACTATCACTGGGCAACAATCCTAGGCTAGGAGTTTCTACCAAGATTCTTTCTTGCGCCCAGATAGGAAGGTGAAGTCTCAAGATCTCCACACGTTATAGGTGAGTAAGCTGTCTCCAAAAGCACAATAAGGATACCGTCTTTAATTTTTTAGTATACATTGCTTTTAGCTTTCCACTGAGATTGTTTTAATCTTTATCAGCTGTGTCTGCTTTGATAAAAACAGCTTTCTAACTAACCTGTGTAGTGACTGTGTATGAGATGGGTGAAAATGATGTGAAGAGAGTGGCAGGGTGCGAGACTTAGGGTGTTTAGACTAGGACTATAGTATGTTGTTGTAGGCTTACAACTAAATTGTTCCTTTAGGAGAACATGGACAACAGCTGCTACATCTGCAATATTGATCTTAGGCAATTGATCATTCTGGACCCTGTAGTCCTCAAAGTCCCCCCTGAGACTGTGTTGTGGAATTTTGTAAATCATTCACATACTTCAGGATGCCTTGGGATGTCTCTTGGATAAGATACAAAAGAAACTGTTTGAGAAGATAAATAAAAGTTGTATCTTTTTATTTTTGTGTTTGATTGATGGAAGCTTCAGAAGTACAAATAAGAACCTGACCAGAAATTGCACAAAGTTATCTATTGTCAGGCAAATCTAAAGAACCAGAACCCTGCATATTCTCTAATATACTCTAGGTGAGTGAAATGAGAGGCTGATTAGGGGGCTGCAGGTTGAGAGATGGAAAACTATTCAGTGTACTAAGTCCTGATTGTAGGACTTCTGGTCAAGATGGCTATGTAGGTAAACATGGCTCACCTCCTCACATAACCACATCAAAATTACAACTAAGCTATGGAACAACCATCATTCAGAACCATCTGAAATCAAGCTGAATGGAAGTCCTACAATTATAGAATTAAAGAAGAAACCAACTATGGAATTAAGAAGCCACATTGAGATTGGTAGGAGTGGGGGAGCTGCTAAACAGCTGGTCCCACATCCATATGTGGCAGATAAAAATCAGGAGGGATATCTCAGGAGCAAGGGATCCCAGGCCCACACTAAGCTCCTCAGTCCACAGGGTTCCTGTGTCAGGAAGATAAGTCTCCATAAATTCTGGCTGTAAAAACCAGCAGGGATCGAGGATGTGGAAGACAGAAACTGCTGGAGTCTTAGATAGTTCTTCTTAAAGGTCCTATGCACAGACTTATTTAGACATATTTCCACTGTGTTCCAGTGCTGGGGCAGCACATTGAAAGGAGTCAGAGACATATGAGGAGGAATGGAATTCTCTGGCATTAGGGCAAGAGCTAGGAGGCAGCTTTTTCCTAGACAGAAGTGCTGGTAGAGGCCACTGTTCCTTTTCTAAGCTCTCCCTGAAAAGAGCTGGCAGGCAGGTGCCATGTCTGAGTCTCCATCAGCCTGGCTCATACTGTTTACCCCACCAAGATTATTCCCTGAGGCCCTGCCCAGGGAAGGGCCCACCCAAGCTGTTGCCAGTGGCTTTTCCAAACGAATGGCTTATCTCTGCCCACACTTCAGATTTTCCTAGCTTTTTCCAGACGAATAGCATCTGGCTTCAGTGAACCCCATACCTCTTGCTGAGTAGCCCCAGGCTTGGCACTACCAGCCACTGGCCTTGGGGTTCTCCTGGGAAACTATAAGCCTAGCACAAGTAACAGCCATCTGCAGATTACTTTGTAGCTTATGCTGTGTGACCCTGGATGAAATACAGTTGGTGGCTGACCTTGGACATGCCAACAGCAATCGAGGTTCAACTGCAATAAGAGTGTGTACACAGCACGCCTGGTGTGTGCATCTTGGGTGCCCAGCTTGGGTAATAGGGGAGGGAGGCTGTGGCACTGGACTCTACAGGACACCTACTACATTAAGCACTCTACCAAGCCTGGGAGATCTAGCAGCTCTGTCTAATACATAGAAACAAACACAGGGAGCCTGCCAAAATGAGGAGACAAAGAAACGTGGCCCAAATGAAAGAACAGATCAAAACTCAAAAAAAGAACTAATCGAAAATGGAGATAAGCAATCTGTCAGATGCCGAGTTCAAAATATTGCTTATAAGGATGCTCAATGAACTTAGGGGAAGAGTAGATGAATTCAAAGAGAACTTCAACAGCATGAAAAAGGACATGGAAACCATAAAAATGAACCAGACAGAAATGAAGGATATACTAATTGAAATGAAGAACAATTTACAGGGAATTGACAGAAGAGAAGATGAAGCTGAGAATCACATCAGTGAATTGGTATATAAAGAAGCAAAAAACAATCAGAACAGCAAGAAGAAAAAGGAATCCCCCCCCAAAAGAAGATATTGTAAGGAGCCTCTGGGACAACTTCAAGCAGACCAACATTCATATCATAGGGGTGCCAGAAGGAGAAGAGAGAAAGAAATTGGAAACTTAATTGAAACAATAATGACAGAAAAGTTCCCTAACATATTGAAGGAAATATACAAGTCCAGGAAGCTCATAGAGTCCTAACAAAATGAAACCAAAGAAGCATACTCCAAAGCACAGCATAATTAAAATAACAAAGATTAAAGACAAAGAAACAATTTTAAAAGCAGCAAGAGAAAAGTAGTTGGTTACTTACAAAGGAGCCCCCATAAAGGCTGTCAGCTGATTTCTCTAAAAAAACTTTGCAGTCTAGAAAGGATTGGCAAGAAATACTCAAACTAATGAAAAACAAGGACCTGCAGCCAAAATTACTATACCCAGAAAAGTTGACATTTAGAATTGAAGGACAAATAAAGAGTTTCCAAGACAAGAAATAGTTAAAGGAGTTCAGTACCACCAAACCAGTATTATATAAAATGTTAAAGTGTCTTCTTTAAGAAGATAAAAAATATGAACAATAAAATGGCAATACATATATATCTATCAACAATTGAATTTAAAAAACGAACAAATAAGCAGAACAGAAACAGAATTATAGATACAGAGAACATTTTAATGTTTGCCAAATGGGAAAGTGGTCAGGAGGCTGGGTGAAAAAGGTGAAGGGATTAAGAAGTACAAATACGTACTTAGAGAATGGTCATGGGGATGTAAAGTACAACATAGGAAATGGAGTAACTAAAGAACATGTATGAATGACCCATGGACATGAACAATGGTGTGGGGGTTGCCTGAGGGAGTGGGTGTGCTATATGGAGGTGGGCAAAGAGGGAAAAATTGGGACAACTGTAATAACATAATTAGTAAATGATAATTTAAACTTTTTTTTAAATTTAAAAAGTAAAAAAAAGTCCTGATTGTAAAGGACATTTGTACAGAATAGTATTCAACTAAAGAAATAGGTTGTGGTTAATGGTGGTGTTTCTAGTGCCTGACCAAATATTTTTATGCAAAACACTTTCCTACTTATGCCATAGTTTCTCATTCTGTTAAATGAGGACATCGTATTAATTTTAACTCTACAGACCTAAAAGCTTGAACTTTATACACTTCTAAGCTTTGTAAAGACAGTTTCTATAACTCACTGATTTGAATCTTACCATAATTTTAGCAAGTACTCAATGTTTTTTATGGGATTTATATAGTTTCCTTTATAATTTTTTGTAGCTCCTGATTGTTTCCTTCATATCTACCAAGTTATCTTTCTCAAAAGCAAAGCAGAGGACAAGAAATTTGAACACACCAAAGGAAGATTAACATGCCTGGCACTGTAGCATTTTAGAACAGCAGAATGAAGTAAGTTGTTGCTGTTATAATTTTGTGAGGGTTACTTTAGAGCTAATAGCTGTTTTTTTAATGGTTTTTTTGAGATATGGTATGACAGTCTAATGAAGAGAAGGGGCCCAAATGGGAGATGGGTGGATGACCAATAACCTGTACAGGCATACCTTGGAGATAATGCAGTTTGGCTTCACCCCACCACAATAAAGCAAGTATCACAATAAAGTGGGCTGTAAGCTTTTTGTTGGTAGATGTTTCTTTTAATTTGTAAAAAAAAAGAAAAAATGCAACCCCTGTGAGACACAATAAAGCCAACTGCAATAAAATGAGGTATCCCTTTATTACCAACTGGGATTACTGAAACAACTCAAAGATATTAGTCACCACCAATGGTGTCAAGGTTAGTTTCACCATATCTATTGTTTATCTTAACCACATGAATTCTTTGCCACTCTTAGAGGACTAAACATATAGAAACTTAAAAAAGTGTTGTTTGTTTTTTGGGTTTTTTTTTTTTTTTCTGAAAGGGCGGCTCTTTTTTTTTTACCTCCCTGTGAGAGAACCTATCTGTAGTTAACATTTAGTGTTACAGAAAAAGCCAGTGTTAGAATTGTTAAGGGTGCAAAAATCAAGCCAGTTTCCTTAAATGCGTGGGGAAAGGTGAAGATATAAAATGAAGGCATTGACTAGGACCTCTTTAAGAGCCTTTTGTAATAACCACTCGTCTGTGGCATCTTGTTTGGTTCTTGGAAATTCTTACAGACAGTGGTAGTAGTATGTTAAAGAAGCACACATATTCTGTGTTTAAATCCTTTGTCACTCATTAAGTGTATGGCCTTTGACAGTTTAGAGTTTCTGATTACACTTGTTTATGAAGGTTAATAAATATGTTTATGAAATATTGTATGTAAAGTGCTTAGTATGGTGCATGGTACAGGGTAAGTAAAAGCTTACCCAAGAAGTTTCTTAAGTTTATTTAACCAATGAGTGACAACTACTACCATTTAGTGGCAGGCAGAGTTGGCATGTTTTGATTCTATGTAAGAAATTTCTAAGGTAAAAAAAGTCTGTCATTAGAAGAGCATCTGTGTTGGTGGGTGGTTGTTATTATAATATTATTGATAATAATATAAGTAGTATTGCTACCAACAATAGGTTATTATAGTTATTAATGTACTTTTTGGTTTTCTTTTGTTCTCTTTGTGATGTTTCTCATAGCTCTTGTTCCCCGCAGTGTATGTTTTGTCCTCTACTTGTTACCCATTTCTTCTAAATGTCTGCCTTGGCTTATCTCTTTCATTCATAAGTGTGTATTTCTTTGCTTGTCTATTTCTTCTTTGAATGTCCTTGGTCTTTGCTCTCTGAAGTGTATCTTACCCACTTCATCTTGCTTGTTTGTTCTCTGTGTATCTTTGTCTGATTTTCTTTTTTGTCATAACTTGTTCGTGCCTTGTCTTAGATGTCTCTCATTTTTTCATTTTTTTACTGATTATTTTCACTCTCCTAGATCTGGTTCTTTCACTGTTCTTACCATTGTGTCTGAGTCACATGCTGTGTGCTTTTTGTTCATTCTTTCTCCTACCTACTTCTCTCTCTTTTTTCCCTCTTTGTGAATTGTGATTATTCATCATTTTCTCCCCTTTTGTTGGTTTGACATTTTACCTTTTTCTGATTCTGGTCTCCCATCTGCTGTTTCTACTCTTTATCTTGGATTTCCCTTTTCTACATATCCTTTCTGCCTCTCTTGGCCCATTTTCATTCTTTTGTCTGCTCTGTGTGCCTCAGTGTCTCTTTGTTCTTTGTGATTTTCCATTTCAGTGCCTTTCCTCTCTTTGTACTCCTATTTTATTGCTTTTCTTCTTCTATCCAGTTTTGGGTTTTTCAGTGTCTTCATGAGTCTGTGTCTCCCTCTTTCATATCCTTCAATTGTCTTTCCTTGCATATTTTTTGTGAACATGTGTGTATATACCTATGTGTGCATGTTTGTGTATGTTTGTGACAAAGGGGTGTCCTAACCCCTTCCCAGTAGGTGCAGAGTGTCTGCTATCAAAATAATCATTGCAGAACCGTTCCTGATGCCAGGATCTCCTGTGAAACAATCCAAAATGAATAGAAGGCCTAAGGATCCAAAGACCTAAGGGCAGAAAATGGAAGGCCCATAATGGATAGAAGTCCCAAAATAGAAGACAAGTGAGCTTGAGACTTGAGACCTGTGAACTAAAATGGAAAACTGGTGTCCCCAAATAGATGGAAACCTCAGGCTTGAGACCATCAGAAGGCCTGAGAATCATGACATACATACAGAAGATGGCCCTTTGTTGAACAGAAGGCCTGACTGAGTTGGTTAGATGTCTTAAGTCAGACAGAAGGCTGAAGACCCAGGATGAGTGGCTGAAGGCCTAGGAGCAGGGACACATGGAAGACCTGAGATCTGAAACATAAGGCTCAATACCAGAGGACATCCCAATATGAGAACCCTAAACCTCAATTCTTTTCTACTCCTATTGTCCATACTCTTGAACATTTCAATTCTCTCTTTTTAGTTTTTATATCTCCATTTAAACTCATTTTGAGATGCCCTTTTTGATGTTGTTATTATCTTGAAGAGCTAAATATTATGCTGGGGCTAGTGTAAGCCAGTTTTTATCACAGTTTTGAGTCACTTATTAAGTTTGATATATTTTTTTAACCTCCATCTCTCCTCACATTCACTCCATTTAAGAGAGACATATTGATGAAATTGTATTTCAGTCTTACTTTTTCCTCAGATGCTCTAGGCTTCTGAGAAGAGGAAAGCATCAGGTTATTGAGGAAAACATGCCAGGCTATGTAAAGAGATGCTCCTGAGCAATGAGAACAATTAGAGAAGAAATACACTCATGTGCTAGCCTGTTCAGAAGCACTAGCCTACAACACCTGACTTCTTTGAGCTTGGGTGAACAGGCTTCCTGGGGTTTGGGATTCCTAGTGATGGTTACAAAAAAAGAATAAGTGGGCCTGGATCAGAGTGTGGCCCCAAGGAGATAGCCTGAACTCCCTGCTCATAGTAGTGGCCTAATAATTTGGTAGTCTGCACTAACCCTACCTTTGGATTTAATACCAACCTCTAGGTTTAAAGGTGAAAGAATTTAGCAGTATTTAGCAGGTTTAATCCTTTCCTTCCTTTTCCCCCTCTCTTGCCATGAGGGAAGATCATTTAAATGATTGAGATTCTATATGAAAGTAAGGTGTTCTCATTAATACTCTATTGGCAACCATGCATTGCCAATATTTGAAAGAGCACTAAGTTGTGAAGCATTATGTACTTCAGGGGTTATCATACCCTTTCTGTGAAGGGTCAGATGTTAAATATTTTAGTCTTTGCAGACCATATGGTCTCTACATTTTTTTTTACAATCCTTTAGAAAGGAAAAATATTCTTAGCTTCTTAACCAAGTCGATTTGGCCTGTGGGCCATAGTTACCTTTGATGTAAATGCCAGGCTCTGTGCTGAATAATATTAATTTCCTTGTGTGTGAGCCTGTCCTTATGCTTGGCACTGAGGAATTAATGATTATTTATGATCATATCCAGGTGACCTAAATAAAAATGTGTGAATATGCTTTTTAACTATGACAGTGCTTAAAAAGCAGACCTAACAAGTTTCAGAGTTGATGAATGAATATTGATTACATAGTATATTCATTCTACTGTATAGGCACTGGATGTTCCTTATAAGAAACATGAATAAAGTGCTTTGTCAAAAGTATGTAATACTACGCAGATATAAGGAATTAAGTGATTGACAAATGGAAAATTGATATATTTGTATCCATAATGTTTCTGCTCCTTTGGTGATTTTGAGTAAAACTGCAGTATCCCAGGTAACAGAAAAGAAAACACATGGAAACTGCTTTTAAGCTATAAAATACACAGCAAACACAAGGGACTAATCTATTGTGATGACTTATAATGTGCTAGATAACATGCTAAGGCACTATGGATAACAAAGGGAGAAAAAAAGCATATTCTCAATATAGAATTAAAAGTTTTAGATGAGTACATTTTAAAGTGCTTTGTAAACTAAAGCACTAAATATCGATGGACTAAATGTTTATGAATGAATAAATATTAATAGCCTTTTATGGGCCAGCTATTGTTTGGGGTTCTGTGAAATCTAAAATAATGCTCTCAAGTAATAAGGGGAGCTTTATGTTCTGCATTATTAGATGTAAGGAATTAGATGCTGCTTATTTTAATCAGTCAAGACTTAACTGGTGATGTCAAGTTATTTCTAGTATATTTTCCCATGTAACTGGAAAATGTAATGAATGAGATTGAGACTTCTAAACTATAAAATGTTACATAAACACAAGAAATTAAATGTTTTCTGTGTGAATAAAACTGAGATAAACATGGTCTACAAAATTCTCATTGTGTGCTTGGCCCACTATGCAAAAGCTAATATAAATAAATATACAAACTGAGGGTTTCAATACTTGTTAAGTGAATGAATCTCAGTTGCCTACTATGTGAGCTCACTGTTGTAGGCACTAAAGAGATAAACATGTTATCATTTCATTGTGCCTACAGTTGAGATAAAGGCAATACATGTCAGCATTTTGTGAACTCTAAAGCACCATATAAATGTAACTACTGGTTTTCTTATTTGTTGCTGAATACTAGACTTATAAAATTGTATCACGGTTACCATACTGTGAAAAAAGTTGGAAAAAATTTGAGGAAGTATTGTTAAGTATTGAGTACTCTGAATATGTAAAAGATTATGATGAATGCAATACTGGACAATAATTATCTATTATGTGCCAGTCTTTTTGCTAGGCATTAAGGGTCTGAAGATGATCCATCTTTATTGCAATTTATGGGTCTTAAACAGCAGTGCATACATAAGCAATATCTGCTGAATGAAAAGGATGATTTACTCTCTTCATTCCCAGAGATAGCAACTAGTAATGCAAAAGTTCATTGCCCTTATTACTGAACCTACTACAGAGACTTCTGTGTAAGTTTAGAAAACCTAGTATTCTATACAGATATAAGGAATTAACTTGGCTTAATGAATAATGACTGATTACTTTCTATGAGTCTCAAAATTACATATACCCTTGTATATAAAAATCATTTTATCCCTATGGGATGTTCACAGGAGGAAATAAGGTAATAAGTGTGAATGAGATCCACACTAAAAGGCACTTAACCACTGCTAAGTTATTTAATGATGAAAACATGGAAAAAATAGAATCGTACAATGCAGTATGCAATAAAGGCTGGGCTAGGTGGAAAAATACAACCCAGATTAAAAGGCTACTTACTCCTCGTTGGCCTGAGTGAAGAGATGGGAATTCTTTTTGAAAAAAAAGCAAGGTGTTTTGGTTCTCCATCAGTTTTTTTTAAATGCTGAATGCTTAAGATGGAGGTGAATTAGATCCACCCTGGCCTTGCTTAGAGACATGTAAGGAATAAAAATAAATGACTCAGGTTTGCTTTTAGATTTTCTTGACAAACAGCATGTCTTATGTGGAATAGATAATTCTAGGTTCTGAACATAAAAAGTGAAATGGGCCTGGTCTAGAGGTCTTTATATATAGATCACAGATTATAGTTGAAGATATGAAAACATCTATGATTTTGCGTAAATATTTGAGGGCCTGATATCTGGGAAGTACTATGCTTACTTAATTAGTTGTGTAAGTATAGTTCAGAAAAACCATTGTTTTGCCTTGGGAATTAAAAACTAACAAAAAAAGGCATGGTTCTTTTAATATAAAGTGAAGTTATGTTCTCTAGAACTAGATAGTCACAACTTCACTTGCTCATTGGCCTAAGTTGAAGCCAGAAGACTAATTAAAAGGCTCATGGTTTGTCCTTTAATTCATTAAGATTGTGCTTTTATTATAAACAGTTTAAGATAAGATTTGAGATGAAACAAGTGGTTTTGTATTTGCTCATTGGATTGGCTTAAAGTGAGGAAACCTTTTGAGCAATAAAATTGTTCTAGTTTTTCCATATATTTTAAACACTTATTTACTCTGATTAAAGTACTGTCCTTAAGTGCTGAGAAGAATGAATAGATTTAAAAGACCAAAATGTACTTTAATCTTACTTGCTTTAATCTAGGTTGAAACATAAGAATAAATTTTATGACTGCAGGTCTTTTCATTTGTTAAAAATTCATTGAGCAGCTGTGATAGTAAGATATACTGAGAAGGAATTATTAAATAGATCACCTTTTTGGCATCTTTCATAGAGTGGGAATGAGAGCTTTTTATTTATTCATTCATACAAACATTGGAGAAGGTGATGCTAAATGAAATAGATCTGGTACAAAAGGCACTTTGTCCTGGAGTTGCAATAAAAAAAAAACAAGGAATGAAATGAAAACTATAAACAGAAGTGTCTATTTCAAGGCAATTTGCTATTTACTAGACATCAAAAAAGATCTTCCCTGAAAGTAATTTGTTTTCTTAACTGGTTTGGAGACTAGATATAAAAGAGGTTCCATTCACTTTTCATTTGTTCATTCTACAAGTGTATTTGAGTATCTATTGTATATAAGGTCCTTTGTTCTGTACTCAGTTGACCCCAGAAACCTGAAAATATGAAAGCTTTCTGAGAGATTTTTAAAACTTTTGGGTTTTCTTCTTAGGAGTATGGCTTAGCCCTTGAATAACATTGTGTGGTTTAATTCCTACTCCATATTTTTTCTCTCACTCTGGCCACTACAATAAGCAGGGTTTTCCACTGAGCTTCCTCCTTAAGTTGCAGGAACCCTCCTTATAGACACTCATTATTCCTCTCTTGTCTCATGAAAATGGCTGTGGCCACTGCTAGGCAGAAGGAGGGGTGACAACTAATTCCCAAACCCCAGTCTCAATGGTACTAGTTTTGGGGAAGCACTCATACTCAAGTCATTACCTTTACCATTTAGTCTATTTTCAGTTCTTTACATTTTACATTGACAGGTATATACTGCCTAAATAAGTCTCTGAAGAACCTTCCCCAGATAGCAAGATTGGAGATGGAGACATGATTTCTCTTGCAACAGATTTTCTACTTAAACCTTAGATACTGCCTTGATCAGTATTAAAACTAGCTCATGATTAATTAAACTTAAGTGATATGAAAAAAAAACCTGTTTATAAAAGGTCTTGTTATGATAGAATAATGTCGGAATGAAAATGGCTTAACAATTTTTACATTGCTTAAATTTTAAGAGTAATAAGAATTGGAAGTAATTGGCAAACACAAACCTAAATCTATGCCCAAATGGGCTTTGACCTTTTCTATTTTTAAATCACTCACAGAGGGTGGGATAGGCGGAAGAGTGAAAGAAAAGGTCAAACCTGTTTCTAAGGGCACCCTGCCTTTGTTTAGATTGGTTAAGAAACACTTTTTTAGGTGGGGATGGGGTATGTTATTGGAAAATGCAAAGGAGAAAGTAACTACCAGCCTTCTTTTCGCAGTCGCTGTCATCCTAAGACTACCTACCACTACTGATAAAACAAGAATAAGAGAACATGGTACCATCATCTGATTTTTGTGACATAATGAAGTAGTGAACTAACTCATTTTTGTAAGAAGTGGCTTCATCTCTATCCTTCTACCTCAAAGGGAATATATATGCCAAAATGGAAGAAACACTTGGACTGGTGAACTGATGTGAATTGTAGAATCTTTGAGATTGGACTGTTGAAAATTTACAAATCATGCTCAGCATAAGTGACCGTCATAACTAAGATTAGGGAATATGTTTTCTAATGTCAAATAAAATGTACTGTTTTGAAAACTCAGTATTTTGATGTGATAAGTTCTTACCTCATTGTCTATTATACACTAGTTATTTCTGTTTTTTTAGTTTGCTTGTTTGTTTTTTACTACCTTAATCACCCAGCATGGGTAAATGATTTGCTGTCTCATTTCTTTCTAACTCCGTTTGCTTTGGTGAGGAATACCAAGAAACACAAAACCGATAAAATTGAGAAGCAAAAAAAATTTCAAGGAAACCGCAAGATGTGAATAGGGCATGAAAAACTGTAAGTTTTTGGTAAGTAGGATATATTCAGGAAGGAAATCACTATAATTAAAGCAAGTGAACAATCCTAATCCCTCAGTTGGTGATAGAATCATTGGTGTCCTTAGAAGTCTGGGTGATCAAATACTCAAATTTTAGACTGGTGACTTTACAGGCATATGAGTTAGTGCAGTATTTACAGGCAAGAGTTTCTGTTCTTTTCTTGGTAATTATACTGGCATGTATTGCTTTTAGAAGAAAGACTTAAGCTCTTGTGGGCCAAGTGATTATCCATTACTGGTATCCAAAAAACTCTTGTCTTACATGTTAAAATCAAATCTTGTTATTACAAATGCATAGAATATGATGGGATAAAACTTATGACCTGGTGTGTTGCTTCTAAAAGGGAATGGGCCTATGTTCCCATTGCTGCTACTTTCCTTTTTTTTTTTTTTTGCAAGGGTAGGTGTGGGACAGGAATAAAGCCCATGAGGAAAGTGGATGGAGACATCAGGAAAGAGTTCTTAAGTTTTTTGGGGGTGTCCTCCGTGCCTCTGACTCTTAACAGCTTCTGTTTCCTTGGGTAGACTCCCAGTCTTACCATTTTATGCTTACTCTTGGGTTTACCATACCTTTGGTCCTCAAAATTCTCATTCTGTTGTAATTCTGTAATGGAGAGCAAATGAAAAGTACCATGTTTTCTATTTAGTGAGGAAAGATCAGATATGGCAATTTAAAAGTGGCAGCAGGAATATTTAGAAAATAAGGTATTTGATAGTAACTTTTAGCTATTGTATTATCTGTGGGGTAAAGATAGGATGACCATCACGCCTAGTTATGTTTTCTCCATGCCAAGCTACCCCCACAGATTAATTTGTGCGTCCTGTCAGATTACTATTCCACCCTTGGTAGGAGAAGTTCTTCCGTGGTTTTGTTGGGAAAGGTAATGTTAATAGTACTAGCAGAGTTAGGCAAGCTAATACAATTTGAATTGGAAAGTTGTGTAATATAAATTGGTTCTAAGATTGAGCCAGCCATTGTGTTAGCTGGGAATCATTTACCAGGGAAGCTGCTAGGTATAGATGCAACTTCTAAAAATGATGAAGGGTGTCAGGAAAACAATGGAACGACCTTAAGACAGTTCCTGGAGTTCCACCAAATCCAAGATAGTTACATGGTGCCCTGGTAACCATATGAGTATGTCTCATACCTTTAACCATTCAACTGTATTGCTTCCCTTAGCTTGGTAAAAGTGAGTTTTTGAGGGGTCCTTAGTGCCAGTACTTCCTGGGTTTGCCATAGTGTTTCTCCCAGGTACCAGGATTCCTAATGATTTTCCATTTACACAATCTAGTTTCTTTTCCATATGTACTTTGAATCAAAATCATACCTGTACTGGAGTGAAAGCCCTCATTTGAACGCATAAGTAAAGATCAAAGCAATGTGTGAAATAAATTGGAAAAGAGAAGTAGGATTTGAGGGTACTTGGAAATAGATTACTACTTAGAGCCTGTCACTTTGGTAAGCTCAGTGATGAAGCATAATTTGCAGGTTGGATGAAAAACGAGGGAAAATGTGGAAGAGGAATGTTAAAGGTAGGGTGGGTTGTGAGGACTTCACTTACAAGAACCATTTAGATATATCCTGCAGGCCTAAAAAATCTTCCCAATTCACAAGTTTTTTGAAATAATGATTCTGACAATATCCCTGGTAGTCGAATGACATTATAATGAGAATAGAGAAAGGTGTGGGATCCACATATGGCAATGAGCTATTGTGCCCTCCCTCCCAGAGGGCATTTGGCAATAGCGGAGCTTAACAAATTGCTCTTCAATTACTGTGCAGGTGGTCTCATCTGCATAGTGTGGTTTTACTACAGTTAAATTCCATTGGACTTTGTTTTGGTGCATATAGATTGTTAACCATGTACTTCTTATTAGGGTAATTAGAATTGTATATATAAATATACATGATATAGATGAGGCACATGAAGTCTGTAGAACATGACTTGCTTAAGTGTTACGGTGCAAACACTGCTGAGGTCAACCAATATCTAAGATCACTTAGTTTCAAAACTGCTTTTTTCACTATATTCTATATAGCTTCTTTTCTGAGAAGGGGTACATGCTTATCAGAAAGGAGTGGGTTATGAGTACCTGTTATTTGGGAGTACCTCTCTAACCGTAGATAACCTTCAGCAGAATACTTCATATCATTATGCTTATGGGGAAATGCAGTCTTATGGAATGTGCAGAGGCATGGATTAAAATTGCAAGAACAGCCTTATCACTAAGATTCTATATTGCTACCACCACTTAACAAATATAAAGTCACCAAATCTCTTTGTTTTTGTTTCCCAGTAGTAAGTGGGGATATTGACTATCTCCTAGAGTTGTACTGGGTTTTAAAATAGAATATACAGGTAAACACAATAATGTTTGTACCATAATAAATTAATGCTAAATATAATTGCTAGTTATGTGGTTGAAGTAAGACCACCTTTTGGTGATTTACCCTGGCTCATTGTGAATGAGTTCCTTTTGGGATTTGGGGTTAGAAGACATGTGGTTTGCATTTTCCTAAAGAATTGGCCAGGCCTTGACCAGTGTAGCTCATGTGGTTGGTTGTCCTGCAAACCAAAAGGTCTCCAGATTTATTCCACATCAGGACACATGCTCGGGTTGAGGGCCACATCCCTGGTTGGGGGTGTGGGAGAGGAAACTGATGTTTCTCACATCGATGCTTCTCTACCTTTCTCCCTTTGCTCTCTCTAGAATTAATTAATTAGTTTTTTAAAAAATTGGTCAGAAAGCTCTGGGGAAGTGACAGTTTGCCCATAATCTTAAGACTGTTTTTATGCTGGTGGTCATCTTGGACGTGTAAGGAAGAACTTGCCATCATTACTGTCTGTAACTACATTACTGTCGGTTCCAAGGGGACAATCTATTTAAGTGAGAGGATTATGAAAAATATGTCATTATTCCTATCAAGAGCAATATTTGAAGCATGGAGTTTTTAATAATCCTCCAATGTGAAAAACATTTTATCTCTACTCAAAGCAGATGCAAGGGACTGCTTAGTAAATCCTGTATGCCCTGTTTGGCACAGTAACTCATAGTATTTAGTGTGTGGACATAGGACAGTTGAAACCTGAGTCTGCAGGGAGGTAGTAAGACCAAGAGAGGCAGTTGTCAGGGTACTTTGAATGCTACTATTTTATTATTATTATTATTATTATTATTATTATTATTATTATTATTTTAAATATTTTATTTATTTATCTTTAGAAGGGAAGGGAAGGAGAGAGGGAGAGAAACATCAATGTATGGTTGCCTTTTGTGCGTCCCCTGCTGGGAACTGGCCTGCAGGGAACTGGTCTGCAACCCAGGCATGTGCCCTGACTAGGAATCGAACCTCGATTGTCTGGTTCACAGGCCCGTGCTCAATCCACTGAGCTACACCAGCCGGGGCTATTATTTTAAATCCATCTTCTCACTGTCACCCCTTTGTTGATTGAATAATCATTGGATAGAAGGCATCTTACCTGGGAATTTAGTCTTCAGTTATGAGAAGGGAAAAGATACAGAAATACAGTGATCCCTTACCTGTTGCAGGAGTTACGTTCCAGAGACCTCTGCAATAGGTGAAAGTCCACGAAGTAGCAGCGTTATATTTATTTTATTACTTACACACATTTTAAGGCATTATAAACCCTTCCCACATGCCTATAAACCTTTCCCACTCTCTTATTAACCTTTCTCACAATCTTATAAACACTTCATATGCTCTTAAACACTTTCTACACCTTTAAACCTACGTAATTTTAACAACATATAAAATTCTATATGGGTACTCACCAGTGAAGTATACAGTCATCCCTCGCTATATTGCAGTTCACTTTTCCCCCCTTTCTGCTCCTCCCATTACCCTGTTGCTAACCCTCCATGTGATCTCCATTTCTGTGGTTCTGTTCCTGTTCTACTTGTCTGCTTAGGTTTTGTTTTAGGTGTGGTTATTAGTAATTGTGAGTTTACTGTCACTTTACATGTACTTTATCTTCTTTTTCTTAGATAAGTCCCTTTAACATTTCATAAAATAAGGGCTTGGTGATGATGAACTCCTTTAACTTGACCATTTCTGAGAAGCACTTTATCTGCCCTTCCATTCTAAATGAAAACTTTGCTGGAGAGAACAATCTTGGAGGTAGGTCCTTGCCTTTCATGACTTGGAATACCTCTTTCCAGCCCCTTCTTGCCTGGAAGGTCTCTTTAGAGAAATCAGCTGACAGTCTGATGGGAACTCCTTTGTAGGTGACTGTCTCCTTATGTCTTGCTGCTTCTAGGATTCTCTCCTTCAGTTTAATCTTGGCTAATATAATTATGATGTGCCTTATTGTGTTCCTTTTTGGGTCCAACTTCTTTGGGACTCTCTGAGCTTCCTAGAGTTTGTGAAAATTTATTTCCTTTGCCAGAATGGGGAAGTTCTCCTTCATTATTTGGTCAAATAAGTTTTCCACTTGTTGCTGTTCCTCTTCCCCTTCTGGTATCCCTATAATTTGGATGTTGGAACGTTTAAAGATGTCCTGGAGGTTCCTAAGCTTCTCCACATTTTTGTGAATTCTTGTTTCTTCATTCTTTTCTTTTTGGTTGTTTCTTCCTTCCTTCTGGTCCACACCATTGTTTTGAGTCTGGGTTTTCTTCCCTTACTGTTGATTCCCTGTAAATTTTCCTTTATATTACTTAGCATAGTCTTCATTTTTCCATCTAATTTGTGACCAAA